TTGTTTGGTTACAGAGCTATCAAATAGAAAATCAGACCCCTCCTGCCACACCCACCTGTCACATCCTCTGTTTGAAAAATCAATGAAAGATCACCTATGGTACAGCAGAAACTGTGTGGTCTCTCACTCATGTACCACTGAACCCAAAATAACCTTGACTTTGAAGACATTATAAATCAATTTGATAAAAGAAGAAAGACATTTTAGTTTACAAGTAATTGTGTTTACAGTAGCAGCCATTATTCTCTACTAGGCCTTGTGGCCAGGGCACTCGACTCGCAATCTGCAGGTCATGGGTTTGAATCTCTACTACCAAACATGCTTGCTCTTTCCACCATGGGGGTATTATAATGTGATGGTCAATCCCACTATTTGTTGGTAAAAGAGTAGCTTAAGAGTTAGTTGTGAGTGGTGTTGAGTAGCTGCCTTTCATCTAGTCCACTGCTAACTTATCTGTGTTGCTGCTTAAGTGGGATTCAAACCCAGGTTTCCAGCCTCTAGCATAAATGCTTTACAGAACAACTATAAAGAGCTCCACACCCCATTAATCTGGCCTTGTATATAATTAGTTACTTACATGTTTACCATACACCATTGAATTATCTTCTGTATGCCCAGCATTCTCAGAAAATAGTTTTTGTTTTTATTATATGATTGTTTAAAAGAGTTTCTATCAAATTGATAAAAATGAGCAACACTAACATAAATAAAATACAACTAAAAACTAAGAAATTATAAAATCCTGTTTTAAGTAGTGATATGTAAGTATATACTTACAGTTATTTTAAACTTGGCTTGTGTAATTGTGCAGAAAATCAAGAACCCATTAGATTCAAATTATAAACTATTCTTCCTAATAAGTAGTACATCTAGAAACTTGCTAGAGGAAATTTTTTTTTTTATGTGAAAAAAGTTTAACATTTTTGGAATCCTTTTGTATTATCTCTCAAGTTTAAGCTCTTTTACTTGTTTCTTTGCAGTGTTTTAGTAATTTTTATTTGGAGCTGAGTGATTAATGGAACTTGCTAATTGATTAACTGATGGAATCATTAACTGATTGTTACATTATCAAAGCAAAAAACAATTTGTAATGGTAACAATATGGTTTTGACACCTGCAGTGAGTAGTGCACAGATAGCTCAGTATGTAGCTTTGTGCTAAACAAACAAGCATTGTGGTAATTTTTCAATTATTTGGATAGTTGGAATAATAAAAGATGATAATTGGAAACTGTAATCTCAATTAGTGATTATTTTCATCACATTAATTGATTTAATTGTAATTTTGATTATTCAAGACAAATTATAGGAAACACTAATTTTAGTCAGTTGATTGTTTGCATGACATTAATCATGTTTCAACTCCAGTTACTGAACAGTTGAAATAATTGAAAACTACAGTAATCAGAAACACTAGTAGATTATGTTTGTTGCATTAATCAATTTAATGATGATTTCAATTAATCAATGTAACATTAAATAACGTAGTCACTACTCATAGGTAATCATTTATGTCGATTTGACTACCCAGTTTTAATCAACACAGTATGTTATCATTTGAGCATCTTCACACATTTCCATATCCAAAGAACTAAAATTCAATATAATTAACTTTCACAGTATCATCCATCAGGCAAAGTTTAATTTGCTTATTTTTCAGAGTTATGAATAGTATGTTTGTAAGATTTTGCTTTTCAAATTCTGAATATTTCAGGCTTTTGTTGTAAAAAAAAAAATCAGGTTTTGTTTCAACATTATTATTCATTGTGTAATTTTTCTCTTGCATGATGAAACTTTTTTTGCAGCAGTCTTCTTTGTGTGTAATTATCACAAGAAAATATATAGTTAATTTTGCAAGGGTTTTTACTGTTAATTTACAGAATATATTGAAATTCATCTTCCATGTGAGTGAGGTAATGATATTGAGAGTATACTGAGATTTTCCAGCTTTATATATTTTTAGTTGAACTGTCAAATTAGATTTTATTTTATTTTATCATATTTTATCTCTTCTTTCTTCTTTTTCATAAATAACAAGTTAACTCTCTCCACACGAGCTTGGTCAATTTGACTGACCACTTGACCTTTTTGTACTCTTAGAGAGTCTATAGATTTGATACTAAATTTTGATATAGTGTTTATATGTTCATGAAATTTGGCAGTTTTTCAGTAAACATTATAAGCTTTTCACATACAAAAAATCATATTTTTAGTGAGTTATATTTCATAAATTAAAAAAAAGATTACTCCTTGAATATATCGAGCATTTGTTTTGAATAGTCTGTGTGCAAAGTGATTTTCATGTTTAGATTAAAAATACTTCATCTCAAAAATCTCAAATTTTATTTGTGTAACTTCTTAAAACCTTCTAACTACATTTCAAATGTTTGTTTTGAGTATAACTTTATTTTTTATCTAACTCTATACAAGGTTGGTCAGTTTGACTGACCTTATAACCACCTACAAAAAACAAAAAATCAAAATAAATCTAAATTACCCTTCTTTTCTCTCTAGAATGCCTTCAAATGTAGTGTGAAACTACATTTGTTTATCCTTAGTAGCTTTAAACTCGTAACAGTATACATCTATTTATAATTAAATTTTATTGTTTTATTGCCCCTTTTGTTTGTCCTTTGAACTGTGTCTAACTATTATTTGTGCCATTATAAGTTGTAAATCACTTGGGGAATGTGCAGCTTACTTTACACTATCAAATTACATTACCCACGAGCTACTTGGAGCTGCTCACATGCGAGCATCATGAAATATTTTTATTTTACCTAATCTAACCTTAACTAACCTACATAATCTTTATTTTTACATATTAATTACTTTTATGATAATAAATAAAGAATAAATGTAAAAACATTGAAATAAAGTACTTACCCGAGGATTTTGTTTTTGCTGTCGATTATCGATGATACTTAACCATAATTTTTATACTAATGGTAGGAGTTCATTAAATAATTTTTACTTAAATTAAATAATGCACCAAAGAACATA